ATCACGCACCAGCAAACCCAGCTTGGTTCAGGATCCTGCTCTCCAAAAGCCATCAACCTTGGTGCCAGCCTGCCAGCAAAGGGCAGGGCTTCACAGCTCTTCTCACTTATGCCAGGGAAGACAGTTTCTTAAAAATTTATACTGTAAATTAGGAATTTTAAGTTGTCAAGAATGTTTCCCCAAAAAAAGAGCTGAAAAAAGCCCAAAGCTAGTCTCATTCAGGGTAAATTGCATGGTAGGGCATTTTCCTAAGAAATCAATTTATTGTAAATAGGCTTTCTACAATTCCTTTTATGTCATTTTTGCAGAGCCAAAGTCAGACTAAAACATGATAGTGTTTGCCTTGGTCTTACACTGAGCTTCAATATTTAGAGCAGCCATTCCCTGAGATGGTAAAACACATCACACTTTCTGTGTCCTCCATGGACTGCGTGGACAGCAAACTGAAAGATCCATCTGTGATAGTCTTGGCTTAACCACTCAAGTTGTTCAGGAAGATAGAGGAAAATGGTAATACAGAAGGGTGTATATCTCAAGGAAAGCTTAGCAATGGTGTAGTGCACCAGTGGTGGGGTGGAGCGCCCTTAAATATTTGCAGTGATAAAAATCACAGCCCAGAGCCCAGACAGGAGCGAGTCTGTTTTAGAGAGAATTATTTATTAGAACATAGGAGGTCGTTACGTACAGATTCTGTCTTCAAAAGTGTCCTGGTTATGGATATGTCAGGGAGACATTTAAACCTGTGAGAACTGGCTTTGGTCTCCAGGCAGAGATACTCAAGACACATCAGAGCTCTGTCAGACCTGGCTCTCATGCTGGGGCTCAGCTGGGGAGAGGCCTAGCTTACCACAGCATCCCTGAGCTTATTACACTGCCTTTATCCCACTGGAAAACGTGGCCTGGGGGCTGGAAACCACTTCTGGGGACACCAGATGGTGCTGCAGAAGGGGCACTGCTCTTCCCTAGGGTAACTTTGAGATCTTTTCCCCAAGTAGGAAATTGTCTTCCATCTTGCCAGAGATGAACATGCCTGAGCAAGTAGCTATGGAAATACAACCATGCTATGAGATAGCATGAGGTAAATTAAAAGAAAAAAGGAAAGTAAAAAGAAATATTTCTGTCATACAAAGCTCTTCCCACCCTCCCTCACCTCAAAACCAGGCCAAGCAGGCAATGTCTGAGCACCTTGCAGAGACCTCCAAGAAAGCAGCTCTGACAGGTGGATCACAAAAAGGCAGCAATTTTGCCTTATAATAGTTGTGCTCCTAGCAGTATTCCTCCTAATTTCATGGCCATTTCTGTTTTCTTTTGTGTTGGAAGGTAGTATTTGTCAGCCTTTCCTAAGGTCTCTGCATAGCCCCTGTGGTGGCTCAGGGCTTTACCAAGTGAAGCCCAGGTGCATCAGAAAGCTGCTGTGCCCATTTTGCACCTTCTGAGCCAACTCTAGGCCCATGGTATGCTGCACAGAGTCTAGGCAGCACTTCTGGAGAGGCAGGGACAAGAGAAATGGCAGATGAAAGGCATCAGCTATCACATTAGCAATAACAGAAAGGGCCTGACACCAAACCTTCAACAGATTAATACAGCCAGTTCAGGGCTCTGGGCTTTGTCCTTTTACCAGGTGTGCATCTTATTGTACTTCGCCACTGTACGTGTGGTAAAGTGGGTTGACCAGTGGCTATAAGGGTGTTTTTTTTTAATATGCAACCATCAATATGGACATTTCTCCAACATCTAGCAGATTTCTTAAATGAAGGTATTATTTGTTTAACTTTCTAATGTATGGGTGCTGAAGGATAAATAAATACTCTACAGTCTGACTCCTTAATCTGGTCCTCTGCTGAAGCCACATTCTTGTTTACCCAAGGGACTTGCTGGCTGGGTCAGAATATCACCTTCACTTCGCTGTCTGCAAATGCACATTTAACTCTATTTCTCCTTATTAAATCCCAGACAGTGGGTCCAGAGACTACACGTAAAACCCCGGGTATAATCCCTTAGTTTGCCCATGTCTACTATCAAGACTCCTTTCAAGGGTATTCCTCTTTCAGTCCGCAATACTTTGAAGGAAAAACAGGTTTGTCAGAAATTCAATGTAATTGTCAGAAACAGCGATCACTGTATCTCTCTTCTCTTTAATCCAAGAGCAGCTTCATGTATTAGAAACATTTGAAACTGGGGACTTGGCAGTGAATGCTCAGAGCTGATGCCAATGTCAGTATGAAAGATGGGTCAGACTGCAGACCTCAGAAGGGACAATTTGTGAGATGAGCATTTTTATTTCACTGCAGATGACATTCAAGGTTGGAGGAAGCAGGGATGGGGAATAACAGCAAGACTGCAGCTAGAAAGCAAAGCAGCAGAACCCCAGTTATCTTAGGCTAGTAAATGTTCATAATTGAACTAGTTTTGCCACAAATATGCCTATTTTTAATCAGGTTTTATGTTCCTAAGGCACTCAGACTCCTTTTTTTGGAACAAGTGCCACAATAAGTCTGATTTTGGGTGTTGGGAGGGTTAAGAGAAATGTTGCACAAGGCCATACCACATTTAGTTGATGGTCCAGACTCACTGAATTATCAAAACCTCTGGAGCAATTCTGGCCACATCTTCAATTTTTTAATAATTTCTACAGCACTGGTTTTGCTCCCACCTTCTTCACCCTTTTGAAAGAGGTGAGCTGAGGCTCACCCAGGCCCTCTGAAGGCCAGCAAGATGGTTGTATCTGGGGAGGGCAACACCTTGCTCCAATATGGGAGGTCAGCAAGCTGAAGGTCTTTACCTACTATTTGCCATAAAACACCAAATCTGGGGATTTGATCTGAAACATAATTTCCTTCCCTCCTTTCTCTCCCAACCTTTAAAAAAAACCCATTGTCCCAGCCTGGTTTGAGGTCTAATTCCAGCTTGATCAAGTGGGAGTGACACAGAGCAGACAGCTCTGTGCTGATGCTAATTTCAGGCTAACATTTATAGGTAGCTCTTTTGCTTTCATTTCCATGATTCCCTTACAGAACTGGTTCTTCAGCCACCCGTGAAGAGAACTTGTTCCTCCTATGACTTCTCAAAACACCTTGATGAGTGAAGGTCACCTGTCAGAGCTGCCTGGATGTTATAGATGAAAAAAGTTCTCACCAATGTTTTTGGAGAGATAAGGCAGGAGAGAGGGCCAATTTCTCTTGCAAGCATGCACACAAGACGGGAAGCATAGGAGCCTTTTTCCTGGAGATAAGATAAAGCTAGCTCCTAAAGTTTACCTGCAATGATGCCCGTCAAACTCTGAGCATCCCAAAGGTGCCACTCTGGCACAAGCAATGATTGATTTACTGGATGTCTTTGGGATTCCCCCAGTATGAGGGCTGTGGGGAGGTGTGCTCCGAGTAGCACTGTGTGGCTGCACTAAGGACATCTAATGGGGAAGGCAGACACAGAGAAGCTGGAGAAGCTCGAAGCAGAGGAGCACAATTCTCTGAGGCTCCAGCAGCGCATGGCAGAGGGACTGTTACCAAGACTTTGTGGCACTTAATTGTCACTATAGTTTGAGTATCTCAGCTGGGCATACAAGAGCAGTTCTAACAATATCCAAAAGAAAGAACATTTTCTCAAATGTATAGTGTATGGCATTACAGGGGAATGACCCGTTACATGGAAATATTTTGAACATAAATTACAGTATCTTTTATAACTTTATAATCTAACTGCCAAACCTTTCCCTTGAAGTTAATAATGGATGTACATCATATAATCAAACAAGCTTTTTTAAAAAGTACATCTTATTATAAATAGTTTATTCAGTGCATGGTTGTGTATACAACAAACAACTCTTTCGTACAAGGCAGAAAACTGCCTGTACAGAGCTATGTCAGTTTTGGAGCACAGAATCCAACGATGATTAATGCACAAAATCTTACACATCATGCAACTCTATGCCAATATTCCAACTTTCTCCCATGCAACAGACATGATGATCTAAATGGAAACCTAACTACATTTTTAAACTATTGTTTCCAATAGCATGTATAAGTATATGTTGTTTAGGGGGTAACCTGTTCTAACGCTTCCTCCTACACAATATTCACGTGCCCTAACAGTGAAAGAAGGACTTTTACAAATAAGACATTTCTTATAAAAAAATTAAGTCACCTTAATTCCACAGTTTCTGTCTTTAGAAAAGAAGCCACAACAATAGTTTAACATGACACACAAAATGGAATTAAGAGAAATCTACACTGGAGGATAATTTTATGCCTTTCTGTTAACTTCCACTTGGGATAACAAAACAATTCCTACAGACTGGGGTTAACACAAGAACTTTACCAGAAACTACAAATCTATAAAAATTTGTATTTCATTGTGTTTAAAACCACAAGAACACTGTTTTCTTGAGCCTGAGACACCAACTCTCAGTTCCAACCCTGAATTTTAAATTATTTTTTTAAAGACCCATGGGAATTCAGAAATCAAAAGTTTGAACTATTCCAAATTAAAGGATACATTTTTTATCAAGCCTTAGATATAAAACAGTAAGCCAAAGAAACAACAGAGTTTACGTATTTGTTTTTTGTTTGCCCCTATAAAACATACAAGCATTAAAATTTCCTTTGAACTGCAAAAGTGGTCTTTTTTTCAGTTGGAAAGCAAATTCTTATCAACAGTGAATGCTGTGAAATATTTTTGTTTCATATTCCACAAAGCATAGGAGAGAGAGAAAGAAAGAGAGAAAAAGAGAGAGAGAAAGAGCTGGACATTTCTTCTCTGAGATTTATTCCACAGTTAAGTTTGCTGGCTATCCAAGTGCCTTGTGATATGCACAAGCATATTCTATATTATTGGGGTATATCCTTTGACAACCAGTAGATCTAATGGCTGATAGAGTTCGGTGCAAGTTTGGTAGCTTGTCCTGGGCAATTGCACATTTGGATGAAAGACTGCTAGTAAGAATTCAACTGCATCCAGAGGTAAGGTTCTGTTTAGAAAGCACTTGGCTTGCCTGAACCTGGCTACGTTGACTCGTTTTGGCTCATGGATTTACCCCCATTTAGCACTCCTGAAACACTTCTGCTCTTTGTTGGGGTCCCACTTCCAGATCTTGAGAACTCTGTGAGATCGTGAAGAGAAGGCTCTTTGTACATGGCCACTGCAAAGCAAAAGAGAGGCAGCACGTCAGCATGCATTACAGGCAGTAGGTTGGTTCAAAGTCTGTCCAGCTGCAAAACATTGGGAATTTTCGTTCAGCACTATGTGAAGAAGTGAATGAAAGAAATGTGTTGAGGAGACTTCCATTTCAAACTCTTCCTAAGGACCTCTGAGCTCCTTTTCAAGGGAATGACATTATAGAGATGGGAAAAACCACAGCTCCCTCCCTCTCCCAGTTAAATTACCCACATCTCCACTGTACCTACAAAACTCCACAAGATAGATATAATCTGGTATGAATCAACATTTCCAAACTAATGGTGAAGTAGCACTGTTGGCAGCTGTGATTTGACCTGTTGTTTGTATACGTAGCCTAAGCAGGTGGGTGTGAAATGGATTTCCAGTCTTGTATTTCCTTTGTTATCACACACACTAGAAGTGGGGATCAACCTTGACATCAGTTGTCTAAAAGCCCAAATGCAGGCTGCCAGGGCTATTGGCACTTTTGAGATAGTTTTTTGGATTTCAAAATGACACTGTCTTAAAAGGCTACTTAAGAGCATCACCCAGAAGTAGAGGATTTCATTCCTCTTACGGAAGGAGCATATGGTAGCTGGTTCTTCTGGAGAAAAGGAGCCTCTCCATACATTGACTAAGATCTCCCTCTTTTCATTGACCAAAGAGGGAGCCAAGTCTGACCACAGTCCTGCTTCAGATGCTTCAGTTAACTGGGATGACTCTTTTAATACACAGTGGTATATGTATGCCACATGCATTACTACCTTTAATGCCACGTGCTAATGCCACATTAATTGCGGTTTAATAAGCCCTGCACAACAGAGCTTTATCCCAGGCAAAAATAGAGAAACAAACATCCTGTAACATAAAGCACAGACTGACAAGCTTTACAGCAGGTTGCCAATGGCCTGTTAGCAGGTGTTTGGGCCATTCCAGGTAGAGCCTTTGTTACTTATAATGGAGACAGTGTGGACTTTGGGCACAAAGAAACTAATAAGCATATTTGGTTAGATTAGCGAAATGCAGAGATAATGTAGAGAAGCCTAAAAAAAAGCAGCTTTGGTTACCTTAACAGTGTGTTACAGAACATTATACTCCTGTTATATAAGTAGTTGAACCCTTCAAATATATATGCATAGCAATTAAACATCTCTGACACAGGATAATGTCAGTTCAGATAGATGGAGCAAACCCAGGCAATTACCTTTTAATGGCTTTGGAAGAAAGTGTGCTGCAGGTTTATTTTTCTTCACATGGTTTCCTTTCATTATTTCTCCTTCTTTGTTAAGACCCAAATACCAACCCCGGCCAGACTGTTGCTGTCTGTAGATCATTGAAGAATACGTCACATAGTAGTTTTCAAATACTGACTCTTTGAACTTGCATTCAGGTGTAAAATGTTCCTGTAAGAAAGTAACAGATCAATATGTGCAGTGCTGAATCTCACAGTTAAAAGATGTACCTCTCACTCTCCCCTATTCAATTGTGAAACATGGGCCCTAAAAGTATTAACGAAAGAGTAACACAATTTGGAATCTGTGAAATGATGCTTTAAGCTGCTCAAAGTAGCATAATAAAATATTTTTGAACAACAAGTAAAAAGCCTAAGTGAAGAATTATTGACTGATTAAACTAATGGACATTAGGCAGATGCAGTCCTGATGTCAACCCCAAGGGACCAGCTGTGGTCCAGCCCCACAGGCAAGAAGCAAGGCCACATAATGCCTTTGTGCATTAACTGCTGGCCTTAACTGCTTATGAGGAAAGTGCAATAAAAAATTCAAAGCCAGGACACCATGAGTAAATGGTTAGCTTAGTTAAGTTAGCTTGTAGCAGCTGCCTCTTTGGTGTAATCTACGCTCCATCTCTGTCCAGCACATTATCCACTGAAAGCCCAGCTGTCAGAGACCCATGCAGACATCAGCCTCTGCTCTGGGGCTGGCGAGAGTTAAAAGGTACCACAGCTGAAAGCATATAGGATTGAGTTTTAGTCTTCATGTTGAATTGCACTGCTTCTTTTGGGGAGATGGTATTGATCTAACAGTTAAAATAAAAAGCAATAAACCAGGATCGAGCCTTTTTGTTCCTGTCGATGTTGTGACTGGCTTTCACTGTGCCATGGTCTTGACTCAATCATTACCTTTTGTCACTACTGCCCAGATTCAAAAAAGGATACAGACACGAAACATGGGTCTTGGAGGGACCTAAGACCAAAATGCCAAACCTGACAGCACCACTCAGCTGCTTCCTAATGCCTCTGGGTCCTTCAGCTTTTTTTAACATTAAAAGTTCTGAAAATGTCTCACCCATGTAGACCTAAAAGTCCATAAAATATGAAATTCGATGGGCATAGTCTGGTGATGCAAATGTTAATATCCCAGTCTTGCCTGTTGTTGCACTGCATAGCAGCCAGCTGTTTGCTGGTTGTTCCTCATGAAGGCAGAGAGCTTCAGTGGCGCTCCCCATCTACTTAAAGTACACTACAGAGGCGTGAAAGAATGGAAGAAAAATCGTGCTTGCATAATGATTGTAATTTTGATTTTAAAAACTCAAAGGAAATTAAATGTCTCAGAAGCATAAGATGTTCTTATCTAGTTTCTCAAATATTCTTGTGTGAGAAAAAGATGGTATTTAAAAAAAATCACTGTGCATTTTCTGCGTACATCTTTTGCCATTGTGTCTTCTCATAGGAGAAAGAAGAAACCTCTCATCCTCTGACTGGCGTTTGCTTCAACAAAGAATGTGTAGTAAGCAATTTTTTTTCTTTTTTTTCTTCAAGCTAATTGGCTTTTAATTAGTTAATTGACAATTGGCTTCAATTGCTGTCAAATGGGGATGGTCACTGCATTTTTGCAAGATTTTTAAATAAAAGCCTTCCATCACTGTACCCTGCCCAGCACTAGCCATGTTGACAAAGACTATTGCAAGGGTATCATCCAATTAGTAGCAAAACTGAAAACTGCAGTGCTCCCACTGGAGGATTATGGTTGATGTACAGTAATTTGGAACTGTTTCAGGTACAAAAGGCCTGCTTATACACAGCGGCAGAGGGTCAGATTGCAAACAGAACCACACCATTTATGCTGGCTCTCTTAGGAAGCAAGTTAACCTCACAAGGAGCTGCAGGAACGAACAGCCTGCAGCAGAGACAGAAAGACACTAAAAAACTTCACTCTGATTTTTCCCTTGGCTGTGAGGCTTGTGGTAACAGATCTTGGTGGAAGCCCTATACTGCTACAAATGAGTCTGCAGTTGAGTGATGGTGCACACCAGCCTTCCCTCATGAGCATCAGAGACAGCAGTCCCCTCCCTGGAGCATCCTGCAATTCAGCAATAACTTCCACGGCAGTGATTTCTCATGACAAACAGCAGGGCACCAAAACAAAGCCTCTATAACATGCTCATGTACCACACCAAATTCCCTCCCAATTTTTCTGGCACTAAAGCAGATCACCTCATTCACCTGGTTGACTTGGCACAGAATCAGATGCCTTTGTCTTGACTGACATCTGCTTAAATCCTTGGCTACAGCTGCAGCTTCAGAAAGGTGCGGCATGGTGGGAAAAGTAGCCTCCTTGCAAAATAAAAGTTGATCCCACATGAGCTGTTTGCAGAAGCTGAAGTGCTCTGCTTGGTCCTGAATACTAAGCAGCTGCTTACCTTTTGCAGGTGTTTGTCCCCACCCATCACTTGCCTTTAGTTTAATCCAAAGTGTGTTTTTTACTCAATAAAAAAGAGTAGGGGGAAAAGATTGCAGAGGGAAGCTCCGAATGAGGAATGCTAGCAAATATGCTCCTGATTTGGGGGGTATTATTGGTAAGTCCATGTGCCAACCCAAGTGTGCTCAGCACTGGTGAGGCCTCACCTTGAGTACTGTGTACAGTTCTACACTTCAAGAAGGATATTGAGGTGCTGGAGTGGGTCCAGAGGAGAGCAACGAGGCTGGTGAAGGGACTAGAGGGAAAGTCTTATAATGAGAGGCTAAGGGAGCTGGGGTTGTTTAGCCTGGAGGAGACTCACGGGGGACCTTATCACTCTCTACAACTACCTGAAGGGAGGTTGTAGTCAGGTGGAGATCGGGCTCTTCTCCCAGGCAACTAGTGACAAGATGAGAGGTCAAAGCCTGAAGCTGTGCCAGGGGAGGTTTAGGCTGGATATTAGAAAGCACTTTTTCATGGAGAGGGTGATCAGGCATTGGAATGGACTGCCCAGGGAGGTGGTGGAGTCACCATCCTTGGAGGTGTTTAACGAAAAGCTGGATGTGGCACTTAGTACCCTGGTCTAGCCGATGTGGTAGTGTTAGGTAATAGGCTGGACTTTATGATCTCAGAGGTCTTTTCCAGCTTCAATAATTCTGTGATTCTGTGGTACGGATAGGGCTACTATCAGCACAACATTTCAAAGTATAGTGCAGAGCAGCAAGTGCAAAATAGCCATGATATTATCTTTGCTGGCCAATTCTTTAATAAGGCACTGAGGTAGAGCAAGTTAAAGTTGAGAGAAGGCAAGTAAAACTGTTTTTCCCATCTTACATAGTCAATCCTATTGAAAAATTTATAAATATAAATGCATTGAATTCTAAGCCCACTTTTCTCCTGTCTTGCAGCTGTCATTTTGGTTCATCTTTGCAATGAAAATAATTTGAATGAGTTCTGAGAAGTCCCATGTTATGAACACAGTGTTACGCAAAACAAGAAAAATTGGTATTTGTGTGAAATAGTATTTTGATCTCAGCTTGCCTCAGAAGTCAGGGATGATGGCACCTACATGACAGTAAATTGCACTCACCCAAGCCCCTCATGAATGCAGTCTAACAATGAATGAATGAATGAATGAATGAATGAATGAATGAATGAATAAAAATAAAAGAAAATACTGGATTCACTGTAGTCATGACTCAGCCATGCTTAAGTAAGCAAGTAGATGAACTGTCAGGAGCTTCTTCTCTCTACTCGGCACTGGTCAGACCACACAATGAGTACTGTGTCCAATTTTGGACCTTGCTATACAAAAAAGATGCAGACAGGTTGAAAAGGGTCCAGAGAAGGGCCACGAGGATGATCAGAGGACTGGAAGACCCGCTGTATGAAGAAAGGCTGAGAAAACTGGGCCGGTTCAGCCTTGAGAAGAGAAGGTTTAGGGGGGACCTTATCATCATGTACCAGTACATAGGGGGTGGCTACCAAGAAGGTGGAGACTCCCTTTTCGAAAGGAGTCACATGGAAAAGACGAGGGGTAATGGACACAAGTTGCTTCTGGAGAGATTCCAGCTGAACTCCAGAAGAATTTTTTTACCATGAGATCAACCAGACATTGGAACAATCTCCCAGGGGAAGTGGTAAATTCCCCTACATTGGTCAGTTTTAAGAGTCAGCTTGACAGGGTGCTGACTCAGCTCATTTAAACTATACTTTTACCTTGAGAGGTTGCACTAGATGATCCTTGTGGTCCCTTCCAGCCTGGTATTCTATGATTCTAAGATTCTTCTTGGCTTTGAGCTGATAAGCTGAACTACTGAAATGCTCCTCTGTGAATAGATCTGCAGCTACATTAAATATGTGAAAAATAATTTAAAAAGAATAATTTGGTGTATGATAATATGGTAAAAAGGCTTTGTAGCATACACTTAGAGTGGCTGTATTTCCAGGCAGCTGACTAGATTATATCTAAAGTAATCCAGTTTCCTCCGTACAAATATTGCATTACAGGTCTGCCAAGGCTAAAAGCTAAAATACTGTAAAAATGAAGCTGGAATTCTTTCTGCTCTAATTGTGCAAAAGACGTGTTTCAAGACAAAGACCATCCAATTATCAGCCACCATACCCACCTAAACTGCAAGACTGAATATTAATTATTCTGGCCCCCAGATGATCATGACGCAGGAATGTAGACTTCCCATAGATAGAAAATAGGAAATCTGTTTTAAAGAAAGGTATTTAGCATATTTTAGCTAGTTTTATTACAGAACCCTCTCATCAGGATGGCTGTAGGCACAGCCCTCATAAGAAGGGCAAAGACGCTTCCTCTCAACCATATATTCACAGAAACACAATGATAGGAGTTGGGAGGGACCTCAAAAGATCATCCAGTCCAATCCCCCTGCAGGATCACCTAGACTAGGTCACACAGGAACGCATCAAGGTGGGTTTTGAACGTCTCCAGAGAAGGAGACTCCACAACCTCTCTGGGCAGCCTGGGCCAGTGCTCTGTCACCCTCACAGTAAAGAAGTTTTTCCTTATGTTCAGGTTGAACCTCCTATGCTCCAGCTTGTTCCCATTGCCCCTTGTCCTATCATTGAATATCACTGAGAAGAGCCTGGCTCCTTCCTCCTGACACTCACTCTTTACAAACTTATAAACATTAATGAGGTAACCCCTCAGTCTCTTCTTTTCCAAGCTAAAAAGACCCAGCTCCTTCAGACGCTCCTCATAAGGGAGATGCTCCACTCCTTTAATCATTTTTGTGGCTCTGCACTGGACTGTATTGGGTTTTCTGTGAGGGGTTTTTGGTTGTGTCTTTGGTAACAGGGGAAGGGCTATGGAGATGGCCCTTTAAGAAGCTACCTGAAAAGCTCTCCCTTTGCCTTTGTCAGACCCACCTCTGACCAGGGCCAAGCCAATCAGTGCCCCTGCGAATTCATGTATTTAAGGGGGGTGCAGGGCATGCCTCTCTGTCACCAGCCCTGACCAACGCGGCCCCAGGTGTGGGTG